CAATATCCTGAAAACTTTGTGTTGCAATATATATCAATTCATAATAAATAATAAATAAATATATAAATGTATATATATATATATATATATATATATATATAATATAAATATTATATATCAGCGCAGTTAATAATGGAACAAATTGTCAAATTTGTAAATTTGTCATTATTAATCCTGATATTTTATATATATATATGGGTCAGGGTTCTCCCCAGGATGAAATTGCATAGGGGGAGGGGAGAGGAGAAGGCAGCGGGGAGGGGGAAAACATTACGTTGGTGGGTCCGGGCCTTGGTCGAAATCCACCTGGCAGCAGAACAAAAGGGTCCGGCACTTGCAGCTACAACACACACGCATCTAATTGGGGACTATATATAAAACAAAAACCATTATATATAGTATATATAAACTACTTAACAACTATAACTACTATAAACAAACTATATATAACGTTGTATATATATTAGAACGTTGTTATAATAGTCAATAAGACTTGCGTGTGTTTGCTGTAGCTGGCAGGCTGGGGGAACTTAGTTCTTGCTTTTTGCCATGTGTCGAAATGGGAATTCTTTGTCCGAGGCGTGGGCCCTCTCTCTCTCTCTCTCTCTCTCGCTCTCCTCTCCTCTCCTCCCCTCCTCTCTCTCTTCTCTCTCTCTCTCTCTCTCTCTCTCTCTCTCTCCTCTCCTCCCCTCCTCCTCTATCTCACAGCATCTTACTCACTCGCTGGCTCTCTCTCGACCTTTCTTACACGTGCGCACATTCACACGCATCCTAACGGATACCTACGTGTGTAATGCACTGTGTATGCTGCACGCTTTAACTACACATGCACGCGCTCACACTATACCATGGGTCATTATTCCACAAATATTACAAACAAAGTTTACACAAAGTATTGATTCGGGCTACAGAGTCAATATAACCCTAGCATTGGCTGTCTGAACTGTACAATGTACATACAGTCAAACCTCGGTTATCCGAATTTCAGATTATCCGAACAAGGTGCTGTGAATATTTAATAAACCACTAGACGATCCCTTATCTGAACAATCAGTCATCCGAACAAAAGACTCCCCGCCCGTCTAGTTCGGATAACCGAGGATTGACTGTAGCCTTGACAACGGCTGTGATATCATGACCTCACATTCGTATTCATACTCTTTACAATTTCATAAGATTCCCAATTAAAGTAATGATTTCAAATAATCTTTCTGACTCATATTTCGTATTTTTTCCCAACCACTACAGCACTCACTGGTATTGCTTGTACAACAGCAAGTGTCTAAAGTAAAGCTAACATGTCTTAGAATAATCGTACACCATTATTTTCACAAAAATATATAATGATTGAAATCTGTTTGTTTACAAATTACATCAATGATCGCCTGGTAAATTACGATGAGGGCTGGTAAAAAATTGCTGTTACCAGCCCTCTGGGCCGGTGCAAAAAAATCCGAATTTCGCGCCCTGTTAACATATATTGGGCATGCCCCCCCGTGTAGTCTGCAAGCATCGCAGGGCACGTAATAAGTAAACCCAGATCTGACAATTTAAAACTTGTTTCATTAATTGGCTCTGCGCAAGCCAGGCGATACCGGCTGCCATTCACTTCCACATTTGCCGAGCCGAGCATTTTGTAACCCTCCCACGCTGCACACGCACTCCAACTTGGCAGCTATATCCCGGGCCTGTCGTCACAAATAAAATTTCTCTTAACATTAGCCGTAACACAAACTTCGACGGACTCATAGACCGTTGACAGCAACGTGGTAAAGTTACGAGAATAAAAAATCTTAGCAATGTTCATAAAAAGCAGATCAATTGCCCTGAAATCTCCATAATTAACCAACATATATTAACATGTGTTAAATTATGTGGGCAATTACTGGGCATGCCTCGCATGGTGCCTGTCAGCATCTGACACAGCATGCAGTTAGTAAATCCCGCCGAGCTCATCTGGCGAGCTAACTCAGATGGACCAATACCTAATTTTAATACAAACCATAAGTATATCTTACAACCATTTTGGGGGATCAGGAAACTGCACTATTCTTACGCACTTTCTGTGTATAAAATCACAGCTCATGTCATGTCACCATAGAAAGCTAAGGTATCGTTAAAGATATTGTTATATTGAACTGTAATAATCACAAATATGCCTTCACGCTCTCTACAACAAGCCAGGAAAACGTATCCTAGAATTACACCATACATGCAGAAAGCTGTAGTGGATTTTGAATAAGGTAAATCATCCAGATAACGTTTTGATGAAACCAAGTTGCTAAATTTTTCTAGTGCATTGTGCCATGTACACTGATGTCTTGCACCTCTATGAATTAACAAACTAAAGATCATGCCAGATTCCTGTTCTTTACACTACAGTCCACCGTACCATGAACAATCAATGTATATATGGTATTTTACAAACGATATTGTGATTTGTTCATTTTAAGACCATGTTCACATACCTGTTTGGTATACAAGGTATGCTGTTCCTGTTATACCTGCAGTGGCCGCTGAGTATCGTAGAAACCTCGACGAAATCATATTTGCAGATTCTGCTATTTATTAGTCCAGTTCTGAAAAAATATGTTGATATCTTTTTTTAAATCTACCATTATCTACCTATAGATCTATCACTCAGGTACATGAGATGCATACATAAAAACGTGTATTTAACTAAAGGATGCATACAGCACTATAGTTATTACAATTTTTAAATTTACAGAAGGAAACTGTAATAAAGACATTACAAGTTACAATTATAATCAAGTAATATAGGTCAAGTAACATAGGATACTCATAAATTCACACACCAATCACAAATCCACAATGAATCAGATTTCATGAATACACATAGCTGACATGAATTTTCACAGGCATACACATCAACCAAGAAAGGAAAGAAATGAAAAAAACTTGTTTACTTATACTGAAAGGGATTTTGGAACTCTCGATCATAACACATCAGGACACAACTTCCATACATATATTATATTGTTTATAATATTCCATATGTTTAAAAATTAACCGAAAAGGTTGAATTGAGCGATATAAGCAGAGGAGTTAAAATTTCATGTGTATATCAAATTGTCAATAGTGTATAAATTGTAAAAAAAGTACAACTTGCAAAAATTGTAAACCCACAGCATGCACATATTTCTATTGTTCGAAATGCTCTGGCTTACGATTAGGAGTATCCGAGTAATGTAGCAAGGAGGACAATATGTGAATAAGTTTGCTTGTGATACTTTTTCTGTGTATTTATCCTTAGTTGTTATCTAAAGTCTTGAATTTAAAAGTAATTATATGTGATTATATAATAAGCCTGTATATGATATATATGATATATACGTGCTCTGCCTCACAGGCACTTAGAGCGTTTCAATAAAATATAATGCTAAATAAATACGAAATCTATTTACTACCAAAGCCTTCACTCCAAGTTCTAGTTTCTATACTCTCTTTCACCTATTATTGCCGACAATTTCCTGTAAATGCCATCCAAATGCTCATCTACAACAAACACTGGCTGCCACCAAGCGCCATATTGCTGCCGCTGCACACTGACACTTAAAGGGATAGTAGACTCTAGGATTTTAGTGTATACAACTGTACTTACTGTATAACAAATCGTCTATACCCACACGTATTTGTTACCAGATACCTAATTTAATTGTTATAATTAATTACACATCAACGCGACGAAATTTGAATGGCGCCATGACACCCGCGACCATGCTGCCACCCTGAAAAAGTTGCGTATTTGCCTATTTATTTTGCATGTTACAAACCGAGGGCTAATCACAAAGGTGCAATTATATTCATACCTAAATGCTATTTAACCAAACGATGTTCATTTTAGGACAAACTAAATCCATAATATAACTGAAACTATATGTCGTTTATAAGATATTACAATCTTTTTGCTTTTAAATTGATAAATAAAAAATACCCTTGGTCTGTAGCCCTTGGCTGAAAAGTTGATTTGCGCAACTTATCAGATCGTGCGCTTTGAGTGGCGCCACCGTCGTTGTAATCAAACTGTAGTCGTTAGTTTTAAAACATTTTTTAATAATATTTCTAATGGTGATTGAACCATGAAACTTTTTATGTAGCGTAATTTTAACCTAAATTAACTGAAAATAACCCTAGAACCTAGAGTAAACGATCCCTTTAAATATATAATTAATATAGTATATATTAGACTGTAATTTAAGTGTCAGTGTGCAGCGGCAGCAATGGCGCTTGGCGGCAGCCAGTGTTTGTTGGGTGTTTCTGAGATAAGGGGGCAAATTGCTGTCCTGACCACTCTTGGTCAGAATTCTTCAATGACTTGCCATATGTTTTGAATCAATTTTATTGTTTGATGAATGTCTTGGATCATGGTAAAAAATTAGCACTAAAATGGATTTCATATACATGAGATTTCTTTAAAAAAAATTGAGTTCAATGTTCAGATGGTCTCGGAATGGCCTGTCCTAACCCATGGTAGCCAATTTTTCACCAATGATTTGAAGCTGTTGTCATCATTCAGGAATGGGAAATCTAGTTTGGGTGGGGTTGCTATATTGTTTCAACTGTAATTCAGCAAAGTTTCATGCGCCTGTGACCATAAGTGTAAGAGGGGTGAACCTCAGACCTATTGTCCTGAATTTTTATCAACTCCGTTACGACTGTATTGTGCTGCCATCTATTCATAGACAATGGTGTTAACCAATGACCAATCAGATCTAATCAGACCAAATCAGACCAACCAGCATCACATTTCAAGGGGAAAATTTGCCAAAAATATATGCGTACTTAAATGCATTCATCACCTCTGTTACGCAAATTGTATGATAAGTAACCATAGAAACCAAACATCATAAATTGAGGAAGACAGGCATATTGACCTCTCGAATAAAACATATTATTTGCATCTTGCCCTTACTCCATGTGGAACCAACAAGGTCAAACATAACAAAATTATCAACTCCGTTACAAAATTGTAACGGAGTTGATGTATTGGCCCTTATAAAGGTATACAAAAAAAGTAAAAAAGTAAAAAAGTGTAATAATCTTTGTGGTTTCAGGGCCACGGTGTTACAAATATTGGAAAAATTCCATAAATATGCCAAAGAAATGATAAAAAAAATTCAGTAATTTAAAACTGCAATTTGCCCCCTAACCTCAGAAACAATGTAGATGAGCATTTGAACGGCATTTACAGGAAATTGTCGGCAATAATAGGTGAAAGAGAATATAGAAACATTAAGACTTTGGTAGTAAGGCCAAAACAAAATATAGGTGTGGTTACCGTTTCATGCCGAAAAAAAATAGGGTAGGTAGGTAGGGAAAACATTTTATTTTATTTAAAGGCCTTCTTTAGTGATATCTCTAAACTGTCAAATTTTTACAATTATGTGAAGCCTAGTATCAACACGTAAATAACAAAAGCATTCGTATATTTTTTGGTTGCCTCTGTGATATTGAAAACACGTCTTGATGTTGGGTCTATGAATGTTGAAAATCATTTATTCTGCCAAACCGGCCACCAGGTGGGAAAACGGCCTGTGACGTCAGGCTAGGTTCTTCCCGTGTGGTGCATCGACACACAAAGTCCTGACATCAACGGCAAATTGAGCACAAGCGATCCCTCGACTGTAGCTTATAAGTATATAACCAAGATATAACTACAATACAACCTTGAAAGTATATGGTCCAACTGTCATATTAATTATTCATGAGGGCATGAATATAATATATACCTAGGTTAATATATATTATTATTAATAGTAAGATATAATTACTAAATTATATATTAATATGTTGCATTGGTAGAGCTTTTAGCCCCGGCGTGGACCCAGTCCAGCAGTAATGCTGCCGGTAGTATTTGTTGCCCGGCGCTTATTTGGTTGATTGGTTTGTTGACGATGTTGATAATTCCATAGTCATTGATATTGGATAGTTTGGGATGACTGCCCACTGCATTCAAGAAGCAAGTCCGCAACGTTGAATAAGTCACCGTATTAGCAAGTAGTAGACCAAGTAAAATTGTGGCCAGCCCCCCGTACACAAATTGTTATAGTTCTGATGTTATATTGACGGGCCTAAAAAAACATCAGAATATAAATTTATAGGGCACAATTTAGTTGGTCTACGAATCAAGTAGTCGCCGTTGTGCTCGTAGCCTGTAA